GAGGTTGTGCTATCTGCAGAGATGGTGCAATAACTACTGTGTGATGTTGTGTATGAAGATGAGGTACTAGATTCAAAAGAAAAGTGAAAAGGTTTGCCATTAGAGGTGAGAGCTGTGAGAGATAAAGAATAAAAAAGGAAAAGGTTAAACTAAATTAATATTTGTTTCATATGGTCAATCAATATGTGACATGTCATATTAAAAAGAGTTCTTTTTTTTTTCTTAAGTTGATCTTAAAGCCTATATGGACATGCATGTGACTAAGCAATGTCAACATGTAAATTTTACAAGTCCAAGTGGTGCTGATGTGTGTTTGAGTAACAGAGGTGTAATGTCATGTGCCGCACGTGACTGTCCAACATTTAATTCTGCCTTGTTACCCCAAACTCAAAGAGATGGAGGGCACAAATCCATATATTGTAAACTGAAGGACAGAAACCCTTAACTCGTAAAGGTCAACGGTAAAGTATGGGGTTTTACCGCCAGACCAGCCGGCATAACTGGTGTTTTGATTATTATGTTATAATTTAATTAGCAAGCTAATTAGGCAGTAATAGTTTACAAATAAAAATATTTTGTAATTTAAATTTTATTAAATTATAACATATAAATTATTAAATAAATAATTATTGGATTATAAAATTTTTAAAATATGATACAATTCGGATAGCTAAACATCAATGAACATCAGACTATAATTTACTATAATATGACATGGCATACTAGGCAGAGCTAGACTTTTGGGTAAGGGAGATAAAATTTTAAAATTTTAAAGTTATGATAACTTTATATCAATTTAGCTTATATTAATTTTTAATTATAAGTTATGTTGGTTGTTAGTAGAGTTATATATATTTTTAGTCACAAGTCTGCAATTTGATTTATAGTTTTTAATTACTTAAAAAAATTATACCAATTTTTATATTTGTAATTAATTTTATGTGTAAATATGTTACTTATAACATATATGTCAAATTTAATTAATTAAATATATTTAATTACTTTTAAACAATATATGATTCAATATATTTAAACAAATAATACAACACAATAGAAAAAAATATTAATAAGTTGGATCTAGAAAAAATTGTGAAAAAAATATTTCAAAATTATGTTATTTAAATAAACTCTAATTAAAATAAATAGGTTAAATTAGCATTTTTTAGGGTAAGAATGAAGACTATATTATTATTATTTTCATGATACTTTATTAGAATATCTTAATTTTGAAGTGTTTTTCACCTTTTTTTTGCAAGTCTAATAAATAAATATAATTTCTTTTTTTGATATAGTTACAAATATTAATAACTTTAAATTAAAATATCACATTTAATTGTTGAATTAATATAATATAAATTGTACAAAAAATTATACTTAATATAAAAATTTTTTACACTCAAATAAAATTATTTATCTTAAAAATTAATTTAAAAAAATGATTCATTTACCTAACTCTTAAATATTTTCTTTAAATTTAAAATAATTCTTGTAATTCAAACATTAAAAATAAATTTATATTAATTAAAAGTTAATGTATTATATTAAATATTTTTAAAAGTATAGGGGGGCCGGCTGCCCCCCTCCTCCGTCCCCGATGACACAGAAGGTCGGCAGGGTAGGCCTCCCCGGCTTCCCCACTTGCAAATGCAGCGAAAAGGCGGGGATTCTGTCGTACCCTCCACGTGCAAATGTGTGGTACATTCGGTAATTTATTAAATGCTGACGGTCTGTGTGCAAGCTTAGTGTTATCAAATTCAATTCGAAACACCTGCCTATACCCTTTACAATATCTCTAGTTAAGGGGAGTGGAGGGCAGAGAAATTGTACTCTCTTTTTGTTTAGATAATTAAATAAATTAAAAAAAATAAAGGAAAAATTTTTGCTCTTATTTTCTCTTCTTTATTTTTTTAATCCAAATATATTGTTAGAGATGTTTAGAATACAAAAGTACTATAATTATAATATTATAAATTTATAACATGATGAATAATGTTATATAGTATTGTGAATTTATAACATAATATATTATTACATAATTAATTTTTTAATTTAAAAGACCACTCTTGGTATTGTTTGCATCGATTCGTTTAATATCATGTCATATTTGATTTAGAACATATTTGATATGACGGTTAAAATTCAAAATATAATGAGTGGTAGGTTGTGAATAGCAGTAGTGGGTGGTAGATGGTAAAAAATAAATACAGATAATAAATAAT